TAATGCCAGTAGAATTATTTTAAGCCTTACGTCAAGTTGTTATGTTTCTTAGAAATTTTATGAACACAGGCTGGTCCCTGGTGGAAGGTGAGGGCGTTAATGTGTCCTGCATGTCACAGTGTAACACAGTGTCTTGGCCTCCGAGTCCATGTGTGCTAACAACAGGCAGATTTTGGCACCATCCTCCATTCTGTTTGCAGCACCTTAATTCACTGTTCGATTTGCTGATGTCACTACTGACTTCACAACTTACGTAAGTCAGAATCTTTGAAACTTTAACTGAATTAGAAGCCAGCAACTGACTCAGAAGCCAATGAGAAAACAATCCTACTGGCTACTTCAGTTTTATGCCTCTTGTGGCATATGATTTATTCATGGGCGTCGAAGCTTCAGTCTTGCGGTTGTGGATTCCAAAATGATGGGTTTGTGGTAGCTGTGGTGCCCACAAATTAAATGAGACAAGGTTTGAAGGACAAGGCAGTGTACTCTGAAAGAGGAATGGCATATTGCAAGAGAGCAAACCAAACCAGACCATGAGCCCATTAAAGTGTACTTGGATTTTGCTCTGTTCTGCAAATTCTGCATCACCTCTCCTTATGTTATGCCATTTCTGTTATTCATTTGCAGGAGGGGGGGTCCAATATTGGACCCATATTAAATGGCTACTATATGACCTCTAAGATGATGCCTCATAATAGCGGTAAAATTAAAACCTGAATACATATTTGACAGGCTGAGACAGCCGGAGTTGTTCAGCCCAGAGAAGAGAAGGCTCAAGGGAGACCTTACAACAGCCTTCCAGTACCTAAAGGGGGCTTTTAAAAAAGTGTGAGAGGAACTTTTTATACAGGCAGATAGTGACAGGATGAGTGGCAATGAATTTACACTGAAAGAGTAGGTTTAGATTAGCTGTTGGGAAGAAATTCTTTACTCAGAGGGTGGTGAGGCACTGGAACAGGTTACCCAGAGAAGTTATGGATGCCCCATCCTTGAAAGTGTTCAAGGTCAGGTTGGATGGGGCCCTGAGTAACCTGGTCTAGCGCATGGCATCCCTGCCCATGGCAGCGGGGTTGGAACTAGATGATCTTTTCCAACCCAAAACATTCTATAATTCTATGATTTTACAGTTCTATGAGTCCACATCCACATTACTTTTATTCCTTAAGTGAAGTTAAAAGTAAACCTCTCTTTATACCTCAGTAAGCCTCTCTTTTTTTTTTTTTTTTTTTTTTTTTTTTTTTTTTTTTCCCCACTAGACTCAACTTGAGCAGCTGCCTGGCTCCTAGTCCTGGGATTGTCTCTGCTACTCCTTCCTTTGGGCTGGCACAACTACTGCTTGGCCTTTTGGCAGAAGAATTGATACAGCTTGGATGTGGACAGGATTCCACAGGATTAGGAATGGGAGGGCTGTGAGCCTGCTGGTTTAAGGCTGGCTTTTGCAGCACTGCTGCCAGACATCAAGCCACAAGCTCGGCATAACATTTGTCCTCTCTTCTCTTAAAAAAATCCATATTTTGGACCCACTACCAGGGAATTTAGTTCAAGGCCTCGAGACCAGAGCCCTAGAGCAGCATTTGCACAGATGCCTGGTTTGAAATAGCAGGCCCAAGCCCTCCAGGTAACATAAGAGGCACAGTGCTGCATCTTGCTTTCCTTAGACCCTCTCTCACACCTGTATTCCCAGGGACTCTTTCACAATCGTTGCAATCTGGCACTCGCTGCCAGACATTTTTGGCTGCTGTGCACACCTCGGATGTTGCAGGCACACACAGAACGTACATCTTCCTAGGGGTGGGGGATTTTTGGAACTATTTGGATGTGTTCAGCTGAGGGAAATTGTGTGAAACCTGCAAATTATTCACAGTGGGGAACAGCACACCTGCAGCCACATATGTTGTGTAAGCCTGAAACTGCAGGTCCTGCTGATCCCAGAAGCTCTGGGAAGTGCTTGGCCACAGGGTCTCTGTCTGCTGCAACCCTGCTCATTACCCAGTGCTGAGCACTGGCTTGTCTGCTGGCTTGGATCAAGTCCTGGGAGCTAACTAATGTCTTAGCTCCCCTATTAATTTAACTATTCTGTGCTGTGGGGTGGAAAACAAGCTACCTGAGGGTGTTTACTGTACCTGAAGAAATAGCGTGTCTTAGGAAGCTAGCCTTAGGAAGGTAAAAGCTTGTGAAGAAACTCTCAGCTAAGTTTCATATCTAACAGATGGGAGACTCTATAGGAGAATGCTCCACTTAATTTGAGACCTAGCAAGCACTGGCCCTGTCAGCTCATACATCCCATTGCAACTACTGTGCTGTAGAACCACACTGCAGATAATCCACGTCTTGCATGACTACCTGCTTTCATTAATAGACCAGTTAAACAAAACCTGATGATAAGTCCAATGTTTGTCCTAGGCTAAGATGATAGCAAATAAGGGGTGAAGCAATGGTGATGTCTCTACTACTGACAGAAGGTGCTAGCTACTCCAAATGTCCTTTGCCCCCTACCTTACATACAGAGTGGCAAAAGAGGAATGCATGCTGCTTCTCTCTTTCATTTTTGTTGTATTGAATATCTGAGATGCTAGGGAAAGAAGGAAAAGCATTGCAGTATCTACAACAGGCACAGAAGTTTGCACAGTCGTGGAGCTGCTGCATCATACAGTATGTAAAAACATCCTTGATGCTAGGAGTGCACAAAGGTTTACGAAAGGTAAGTGATGATTTTCATTCATAAGCATGAATCTTCATCCCAAGGTGATGACAGCCTGTGCAGATGTATTTGTCATAGCTTCAGAGCCTTGTCTAGTGGCGTCTTGAGCCCCTCCAAGGATGGAGACTGCCCAGCCTGCCTACACAGCCTGTTCTGTGGTTGTTTTAATGTCCTTGGAGTCAAAAGGCTGCAGTTCTACATACCTTACATCCTACGACGTGAGATTTCAGCTCCTTGGGCAAGGTATGTAAAAGCCTATAGGAGCTCAATAAGCAGAAAGGCATCCAGTGGGTTGTCTAAGCAAGTCAAACTGACTTCAGTGGAAAGTCTGACTTGCTTGGAAATCCCATTAGAGAGAGCATATCCTTTGCATGCCCCGTGCCAGTCAGTGTCTCAGTGATGACTGAACAGAACTGAAAACTTTGGCTCTCTGTTAATACTGATTCAGAAAGGCAGCTACAAGTAGCACTGTGAAAGAGTTTACTTTTTTTTATTTTCCTTTGCCGTAACTGGAAAGTGAAAAATGAGGAGGTACAGCTACAGGTTACTCAGAGCCCAAACTCCCTCCACAGAGGCACACTACAGTTGCTGAACTGAATCACTGCTGTCACTGTTGTGCAGGGGAGTGTATCTCCTCCAGTTTTCATCTTTCCCTGTCTTTTACTGCTATTTCAAAGTAACACAAAGTAACTCATTGGTTTTGATGCACTTCTTCAGCCTGGCTGCCAGAAATCATTCTTTTCTCTCTTCTGCAGTGATTAACTGTAATGTTCTTTCTTAATAACAGCAACAAAACCAAAAACCAACCCAACCAACAAAACCAACCCAACCAACCAACCAAAAAAAAAACCACACCAACAACCCCCAACAAAAAAAACCCCAACCAACCAAAAAAACCCCACCAACCAACTTACAGCCAGACAGAAATCTGTGATGTTTTCCTGTATTCTTACTTAAAGAGGTAATATAACCCATTTTTTAAATACCTGTATTTCTTCAGGTTCAGAGTGCAACACACTGTTATGTCTATAACTTCAAACTGCTGATCTTATTGCTTCTGTTGTTGGTGATATTTTACCATTTGTCTGTGGAGTCTGAACAATGACTTGTTCATACTCTGGGCTACTTTAAATATTCACACAAAATGGGGAGAATGCCTTTATTTTATTTGAGATGTTTCAGTTTGGGGGATACTCAGCTTGATAGAGCGAGAAGGGGATGATCTGGTTCCAGACCTCTCAAGTTCTTAAGTCTCCCGTCGTTCCTAAAACTCCCTTTTTAAAATAATTACTTTCTGTGAAATACTTCTCTCTTCAGCTTTCCCATGAGAGCAAGATAGCAAAGCTCCCTTCTTCTTTCCTCTTCAAAATACTGAACAGATTTTCCATCAAAGTTCTGCTCTTGAGGTGAACTTTTGGTACCTTTCTGCAAGGATCTGCATTATTAAGTGTTGACAGCTATAAACACAGAATAAGCTGATGAGGCAGATCCTGCCTGTTCAGAACCTTGCCTGCAGGTTACAAGCCATGCTTCAGGACATTTACATGTGATGTGTTGTTGTTTCTGAACTGCTTCAGTTTGCTAAAAGACCCTGAAAACAGCAATGTTTTAATGAAGTTGATGTTAAATTGCTGTTATTTGAGGTATTCTTTGAGCAATCACTGCTTGCTCAGAAGAAAGGCGGAAGAGCAGCACACAACCTCCTTAGAGTCAGGCATCCCAATTTTTACTGCTTTCATGCAGCTGACTAGGTCACTCAATAGTGCTGCTAACATGCCATGTAAATACAACCACAATAGCTACAGGAATTCACGTTTGCTTCCTTGCTTTGTTTTTCAGGACATGATGACCGATATGCGTAATTTCCACCTTCTGCTGGCCATCCTAAAATATTCTCAAGCACTGATTTGTTGTTTTTCTTTTTTCTCTGCAGCTTGTTTAGTCTGTCGAAATTTTGTGTGGACTTCATGTAGACTTGCAAGGGAAAATGCTCTCAGACATTGAATGACCTCCCTCTAGTGGCTATGACTGCGAAATAAAAGTAGGGCTGCGATGAAGTGAACCCCAAGGTTAAGTGTTTGTATTAACCACGGTATGAAATGAAAAGAAGTAAACTTGGGAAGAAGACTTATGCCACATCAAAATATTCCACAGAATTACTGTGTTGTTACCAAAGGTTAGTTACTGCTCTTTCAGCCCTGAAAATATTTATCTTCCCCACTTTCCATCTTCTCCCTCTGTATCCTTGCACACAACAATTGTATTGGGTTTGTGTGGCGAGGTTTTGGTAGCGGGAGGGCTACAGGGTTCTGTGAGAAGCTGCCAGAGGCTTCCCACATGTCCGGTAGAGCCGATGCCAACCAGCTCCAGGATGGACCTGCTGCTGGCCTAGGACGAGCCAATCACGAATGATAGTGACATATCTGTGATAACATATTTAAGAAGTAAAAGGAAGTTATCAGGCCGATGAAAACTGCCGCCAGAGAAGAGAGGAGTGAGAACATGTGAACAACTCTATAGATACCAAACTCAGTGGAGAAAGAAGGGGAGGAGGTGCTCCAGGTGCCGGAGCTGAGGTTCCCCTGCAGTCTGTGGTGCAGATCATGGTGGAGCAGCAGTCCCCCTGCAGTCCATGGAGACCATGGAGGGGGTGCAGAGATCCACCCGCAACCTGTGGAGGAGCCCATGCTGGAGCAAGTGGATGCCCAAAGGAGGCTGTGACCCCATGGGAGGCCCATGCTGGAGCAGCATTCTGGCAGGGACCTGCTGACCTGTGAAGAGAGGAGCCCATGCTGGACTTTTTTTTTTCTGGTAGGACTTGTGGCCCTGTGGAGGACCCATGCTGGAGCAGCCTGTGCCTGAAGGACTGCACCCCGTGGAAAGGTGACCCACGTTGCAGCAGTTTTTGAAGAGCTGTTGTCCACTGGAGTTTGTGAAGGACTGTATCCTGTGGGAGAGACCACATGGGAAGTAGGGGAAGGACTCCTCTCTCTGAGCTGAAGCAGAAAACAACAACTGACTGTAACCCCCATTACCCAGGAGGAGGTAGAATTTAGGAAGGAAGGAGGGGTTAGGGGTGTGTTTTTAAGATTTATTTTACTTCTCGTTTTCCTGCTCTGATTCTGGTAGCAATAAATTTAATTAATATCCCCACTTTGAGTCTGTCTTGTCAGTCACGGTAATCGGTGAGGAATCTCTCCCAGTCCTTACCTCAGCTCTTGAACCCTTTGTTATATTTTCTCTCCTCTGTCCAGTTACAGAGGGGAGTGGGACAGTGGATGTAGTGAGTACCTGACATCCAGCCAGGGTCTACCCGCTACACAACCTAAGAACACTGGTGGGTCAAAATCTGCATGTAATGAATTATTTTTTTTTTCCGGTTCTGTTAGTTGTCCGAGTAAGACAAATATGCAAGCTCCTCTTTTTCAGATGTGTAGAAAAGCTGCGGTGCCTGAAATCCTATCTGATTTTACTAACCACACACATTAGTCTATCAAAAGATGCTGTTTTCTCTTACAAACCTTGTCCCAACAGATATTAAAAGAACAGGTAAGATCTGGGAAATGCAGCATCATTATTCCATTTCTAGTAATTTTCCTTTAGTTCTCTGCGGTAAACATCAGTATCTTTGACAAAACAGTATCTGTATGTATAGCCAGCAGTTATATTCCTGTGTTTAAGATCTTGTTGACTGTGATTCAGTACCTTGTCTGCACATTTGTCTTTTAGACACAAAAAGTTCCAAGGATGCGTGGCTGTGATTGTATCTTTATAGAAAAAGGTGGCAATGACAGTGTAGCAAGACAAAAGTGGGTGGAAAACAGCCTGTTAAAAATGACAAAAATGCAAAGCTCCTTCAGCTGCAAGAGAAGCTTTGCCCTGGTGTCTCCTTTTGGATCTCTCATATTTTGGCCTCCAAGTGTTAAGTGGAAGGTGAAATTTGCAGGCAGTGTGAGATGAGCCAACCCAAGCTGCATCTGCAGAACATCCAAAAAAACCCTCTCTTGTGAGTTTATACTTCTGGTACAGCAAAAAGATAATATGGATGTTGCCATAAACAAAGGTATGTGGCAGCTGTAACCAGAATTTCATTACTTTATTTCGATCCCTCTCTATATTGGGTTTATCAAATAAAATAACAAGCCAAAAAGTGGGGGGGTGTCCAGGGGAAAATACAGAAAATATTACTTTTTCACAGAAAGCATTAAGCTAAAGATAAAACTTTATAAAAGACAAAAACTGGCAGTGATAGCAGGAGATAAATGCTTTTAATGGCCTGGGACGTGCATTACCATCCCAAATTAAAAACCTGTTCATAACAGATGGCAGTAAATGTGGCATGTGAAAAATCTTGGAAAGTGCTGACACAATGGCAAAGCAGAAGGATATCTGACAAAACAGGAACTACCCCAGGACGTTCACAAAAATACTGGAAGGCACTGCCTTCCAGAAATACAAAACTACTGACTTCACACTATCCAACACCTCCCAAATTGAGCAAACTAGGCATTTTTGTAAATTAATTAAAAAATGGGGGAAAGTGTAGCTCAACACAGGTTAAAAAAATTATTTTACAACATTTTCCTTCAAATATTTGCTTGAATGACTGAATTCAGGTTCAGAAGCTTTTCTGGGTCCTCTTCTTATAAATACAGTTTGTCTGAGAAGTGATGATGATGATCAAAGTTAAAATAAATTTTGGCATGTGTTGCTCATTCTACTTTTGTCCAGCTCTCATCTCTCATTCCATCGAGTTCAGCAGAGTTTTATCCCTGAAAACCAGGAGCAGGAAGAGCTGCCTCATGGGCAGCAATACTGAGCACTGCTCTGGAAACAAGTTCGCTGCCACCGGGTCTTAAGAACAGCCACCATCATCACTGCATTGCTCGGGAGGGAAGACAGCCACAGGTCAGTCCCTCAGATGCCTTTAATGTCATGTCTTTCCTTAATGATAGAGGTTTGGAAGTAGGAAAAACACTGTTTCAGAGCCTGGACCTCATTCACAGGATTAAGGCAGCACAACCTGCTTCTCCTCTAAACCCTTCCTGTTTTTTTGCCATCGCAATTCCAGTATGAGCTAATGTGCAAGCGTTGGCAGCCACTCCCTTTCTTCCTTGCATCACTACCATAGATTATGAAGAGAAACACAGACATTTTCCACAAAATGAACCACTGCGTTTGCATTTCTGTTACACACACACGTAAGCCGACATTAGGCTGGAAATCTTGCAGCATAAAGGGCTGCCTGATTTGCCTTGGCCTTCCAAGTCCTGTAACTGTGATTTAAGAGTCAAACCAATGCCTCAGTTAAAACCTAGCTGCCAAAGGTCTAATATCCACCAGCCCCCTGAAGCAGCCTGTGCTTCCTCTTTGGCATTTCTCTCTAGGCAAAGGGACAACTTCTATGCCATTAACTGATCTGACATTTTCTCCTGCACTTTTACGAGCTTGTGCACAGGATTCTGTTCTTTAGAAATCTTCCTTAAATGTTCCCATCCTTGAGAATATTAATCTGCAAGTAACCCATCACACTGCAAAGCCCATCACCTCTTGGACCTCCCTGCCCAGTCATGGGTGCTGTTTCCCCAAGAAGACAGCTCAGGCAAGTGGAAAAAAGTCCCGGACATCAAAATCAAGCAGGCTCAGCATGCCTTCCTTGCTTGCCACTAGTGCTGCCAAAATGGGCTGTCACCAGCCTGGGTGTTTCTCCATGTGAAACAACAGGAGTGACAACAATGTGCTGGTGGGCACTGGCAGGAATCACAGCTGGAAACACCTCCATGGAGAGGTGAGCCGTGGTGGCCACCACATAATGTCCAATTGGTGGCAGGTGCTGGGGCAGTAGGTGAAAGGGCAGATATCTCTGACCAATACAGACTTGATTTCCTATCTAGGATCCTGTTGAGCATCATCCAGAAGTGCTTGTCAGGGCTGTAGCTGTCCCCAGACCACACCAGCAGATCAAGAGTGTGCTGGTCCTAGAGCACAAACTCCACAAAGGGTCGAGGTGGTAGCCATGTACACAGATCCAAGGCAGATGGTCAGGTTGTGTGGCAGGGGTGGCTTGCACACATCTGGAGGGTGACTAGCCCCGAGGTTTTGTGCCTGGCCCCATCCCTGTGCAGTTTCCCCACTGCCCAAAGCTGGTTCAGCCATCAGTGTTTAAGAAGATGGAGCTGATGAGCACTTGTGAGTGGGATGAAAATGATCACCTCTTGACCCTGTACAGCAACATGAATTTGTGTGACTGAGCTCATAAGACAGCATGAAAGAACAATCTGCTCTGAAATTCTGGTTTTTCTGTTTTCTTGTTTGTCTAGTAAGACAAGTTATCTCACCTGTCCTTGGAAGGGAGGTGGCTGTTAAAGGTAGGGGGGACTCCTCAGAAGAAAAGATTTTTCTTTCAAGGTAAGATTGAAACAATGGAGAAAACAAAAATCAACACCCCTCCTTAAAAATGTATAAAGGCTCAAGTTTGTCTTTTACCATCATAAATTTTCATTTCAATAGGTATGCAAACGCAAAAATGGATGTGTGGAGGGATGAAGGTTTAACTAGAATAAGCTCTAGATTGTCAAGCTTTAAAGCAGACCTCAGAACCTGAAGAGAAGGAACTAAAACTCAGGAAAAAGAAAGAAGCTTATTTAAAACACAGTGCTCTGAATTAGGGCAATGCATGTCACCTTTTTGTGCTGTTAGGTTGTTGACAGTCATAAGAGAGGTAAACTTCACCTTGTGTGTTGAATCATCTGACAGATAATAGGGATTTGGTCTCAGTTCCAGTAGCTTCATTTAGTACGTTTTGGAGGTAGTTTTCCTGAGCTAATATTGACCAATAAACTGACTCTAGTGCTTTGGGAGAGTTGCAGTCCTGTATCAGAGGAGCTGAATTCTAGAGGGAGGTTTGGGAAAACACCTGCTTCCCACAGTGGGAGTGAACTGGACCTGTGGGGACACACTGGGTGCCGAGGACAGCCAGTGGGAGAGCTGCTCTTCAGGAACTGCCAGTGCCCACCCCAGCACATTTTCAGGCATGCTTCTGCCAATTTCTGCCCTGGCTGCCCAGGTAGTGTGCTGGCAGCAAGGTTTGTCCCTCAGCATGTGTAACGTAGCTTTAGGTGTGATCAGATGAATTTGCTCATAGATGAAAGGAGGGTACAGGTTCAGGTGGACAGAATGTAGTTCCCCCCTAAAAAAATATGAGGGCTGTTGGCAATTCAGCATGTGGGAATGTCAGTCAAAAGTCTCTGTTGCTGCATCTGGACTGATGTTTAGCTGGTTGCATGCATGAGTTATCACAGACATTACCTGATGTCAGTATTTAGAAATTAAAAAAAACCCCAAACCTTAAATGACTCTCATCTAATTCTTTTCTCCAAGGAGTTGTGCTCTTTGAAGCCTTTTACACCAATGTCTGATAGTTGAAAGATAAATAAAACCAAGTGAGGGAGCACAAGCTCATTTAGTAACTGTGGCTTTTCAAAAAGACTTCTTGAAGACATCTCTTCCTTATCCCATCATCGCTAAGTGCTGTTTTTAGTGAGAAGCAAAAAATTATTGTGAAGAAAAGTATTACTCTTTTCCAGTATTTAAATTCTGGTGACTGTGAATTGCATAGAGATCAAACCCTATTTTAAGTTATGTCTTCTCAGATGAACTACAATATCTGAATGGTGGATAAAGGACAAGAGTAATTTTTCAGGTAATTCTGCCATGAAGAAGGTGTTTTTGTGATTGCTGCGATGGTGTTGCAAAACCTTCCCTTGAGCAGGTTTTTCAAAAGCGGAAGGTTTTGATGAGGAGATTGCAACAGCTTTGTGGGCATGAGACTCAATAATAGTCACAGGAAAATCCCTATTTTTTTAATGCTTTATTCCTATGAGAACTTCTTGCTCAATCAGGAAGTTTCATTAAAATAATGGAGAATATGAACAAAAGAATGAGGATTAGTTATATGACTAATGATGCAGACACAGGTACAAAATACTTTTTTTTCTAGAGCGTGGCTTATTCAACTAGCATCACTGTCTGGAATCATATTAAAAAACTTCTGTGTCTCTCTCTGTCTGACTTTTGAAGGGTGGGGACTAAGCTAAGGAAAATTAACAATTATACCAGGCAGAACAGAACCACATTAGTGTGTGATGTATGCATTCCAGAGAATGTTGTTCCAAGAGCCCATATCTGCAAACAACAATGGAATGGAGAGGTACAAAAATGGTTTTAAATGATTAAGTTGTTATAGTGAGAAGCTCAATGCAACTTTAAGTGTCTGGAAAACCTCCACAGATCTGTCTGTACAAGTAAATAGCCATGTTAAAAAGAAGGAAATGGCAAATGTAATTGATTAATATGCTAGCAGTGCTACTCAGAATTTTCTGGTATTTCTCTTTTATCTCACACCCACATACAAGGCATGTGAACAAGATGTGCACTGAGAGCTAACAGCTCTAGTTTGAAAGTAAAGCTACTGCATCAGATAAACTGCAGTGAAGAACAACTCCCATCTCTCTTGAGATCACACTGGTTTGACTCTCAGAATCACCTGCCACATGCCTGCCATTACCCAAGACATACTGTAGGCCACTCTTCCTATTTTTCCATCTACTATCCTCCCAACTGAGGAGTTGCCATCAGAATGACACAGACATACTTTCAAAGGCTAGGAGCGGTTTAACTCTCCACTTACTTACAAACAAAACTATCCATCATTTTCATTCTTTTATGATTACTGAGAAAAGTAATGAACACATTAGCAACCTTCATCCTGCTTGGAGAGAGCTGAAGAAAGTCTGATTCTTTGCATTTAGACAGAGACAACAAGCAACTGTGTCAAAACCAGTTAAAATCCACTACCATGGATTCCCAACCTCTGTGTCAGACTAGCAGCAAGAGAAAAAAACCCTCACTGAAAGATTCCACGTTGAGGCTACTTACTTATGTCCCCAGTTGCCTGTGTTTGACAGAAAGTTGCTGCCTCGTGGTTCTGTGGGCTACCCATTCAGATCAGACAACAGTCTGGATTTGTGGGCTTGCACAGGACTCTGTGGGCTACCTCCTCCAGTAATCAATTACCTCATCTTCACTCTGATGCAAAAGTTTGTCTAGTTGTGAATCAGGCAGTGATATCATGCTGTGTACCCAGTGTCACTTTTGGTCTTGCACAAGAGCAACAGTGCCACGGTACTCCTTTCCCACTCCCTTTCCCTCCAGGACAGATGGCCTATAGCTGGTCCTCATCCTGTAGGCTTCTTGCAGAAACCAGGAATAAAAGCAGTTCTGATCTGGCACTTTCCCTGCACATTGCCAGCTTCCCTTACACCAAGTGACTGCCAAGTATCACTCATGATCTCTATGGAGAGATGTTAATGACCAAGGCACATCCCAAAGGTGGAATCATACTGTCCACAGGTGTCTAGGTGAATTTTGTGACAGCCAGAATGAAAGCAGGGAAGACAGGTGCATTTCTGTGGCTAATGGCTGGCACGGCTGCTAACCACTGTGCTCTCCTTGTAGGAGCAATTACTGCCTTTTCGTGGAAGCTCAGAAGGGCTGCTCTAGCATGGCAGGATGCATCTGCAGCCTTGTTCAGTAGCCAGAACATACCTGGGCACTCGTACAGGGCAGGGAGTGAGTGGGTGATTTCTGTGGCAGCCAGTTGCTACATGCAAACTTTCTCTCGCAGCTCATAGCCTGAGGGGATTGCTAAGTGCTCAACAACTCCGATATTTGGATTGGTAATACTCATTGCATTGATGCAAAACTGAGACTGATGGCTCAGACAAGTGATCCCCCAATAGCCTAGTGTGTTCCCGTACTCCACTGCCATGTGTGTATCTGAGTCGGAGATACAAATAGTGGGATGAAGTTATTGATGCTGGGCTTTGTGTGAGATGGAAAAATGGGTGTGAGTGTTCTCATGAAGGTTTTTTTTGTGGTATCCAGGAACAAGGATCCTGGATGAGTGCCAGAACCTGCTATCTCTTACGTTTATCATCAGGGAATGAAAGCAATAGGAAAAGAGAACACTGGAAAACAGATTAAGTTGTCCCCACCACAACAGCAGCAGCTGTTGCACATACCCTCCTGTTAAAACAGGTAAGAGACAATCCCTTGGGTATGTTTCCCAGGCTGCAGTAACAGTTCTGGTCTCTTTGTAACAGGGCAGAGAGGACAGAGGCAAACTTGCCAAGAAGCTGTCAAGAGGGACTCCAACTTGCCAAGAAGCTGTCAAGAGGGACTCCAGAAAGGGTCTATTTTGGCAACAAAGAGCTTCTAGTGCTCACCCATCTTGTGCACACTCACTCTTAGTAAAGAGAGCAGAAGCGACAGTGCAATCACAAGCTGTTATTCTGCAGATGAGCCTGTTCCAAAAAAACAGTTTAATCCAGTGCATTAGACTGGGAGTCAGGTGTCAGTGTTTCAGTACTGGTTTTTCCCATGGTTTGCTTTAAGACTATGATTTCACCCCTTTCTGCCTGCTTTTGTAAATGGAAAATTATAGCAGTGATCTCCCCTGTAAAACTGTGTTGGCATGTCTGAATGAGAAGGGCTTCTCTTACTTCTTGTGACCTTAATTTTCCCACTTGAACAATGTGTAAATTGCTAGTGACCAGCATAGGTGTATGTCAATGTACACATTGGTACAAACCCTGAGGAATTATTATAACCTAAGACTGCCTGTATCCCAGCTCATGCCTATGCTGCGACACTATTGCATGGAAGTGACGACAGACTTTGGCTTGGAAGAGGATTCAGAAAAGTTACCCTGAGGTACTCAATAGCAGGGACTGTGCATTCACACCTCTCCCAGCACCATCAGAATCTACTTTCTGCTTTATATGAGCAGAGAGGGGAAAGGTGTCCCAGTGGTAACACTGCTAGCCTGGGATGTGGCTGCTACCCTGCACTGTGGTGGTACGTGCTTCTTGTGAGACCTGGGGAAAGTGGTTTAGGTCCAGACACTCCAGACCTACATACCTTGAAAATATTTTCCCTTAACTTCCTCATTATTCTATTTCTTATCTGAAAAGTGACTTTCAAGAACTTTCTGTCATGCAGGAGTGATGTGGGAGATAAGCAGCCTGAGATAAATAAAGGAGAAGTTAAGAGAGATAAAAGTTAAGGAGAGATAAAAAAGGAGAAGTTAAGACTGTTGTAGGAATGTCTTAACTTTCCTACTTTAACTTAAGTGTTGGAAGTCTTCAGCCTTTAAGGTGGTAAGAAAAAGTCTTGGTCTTCATTACATGACTTTGGGTAATAAGTATGCTTTTTTAAGATTTGGGGACCAGTCTTTTTTTTATCTTTTGTCTGAACTGAGATTATCATGTCTATCTGAAACTCCAAATATCTCTTTGGTTTAGTTCTTTCATGATACACTATCCATCCAAACTGGTCCTTAAGTGACTTCTCTCCTTGCCTGGTGGCCTCCAACTTTTTGTTCTAACAGCTGGACCATGGCCTGACACCATTACCTAACTTTAATATGCCTGAAAAGTTAAAGAAAGAGGCTTGATCAAACTTGGATAGGAATTGTTTTGTTAGAGCCTGGAACTGAGTCCCAGGGTAGCACCCCATGCACTGAAAGGGATGATTTCTCATCCCAGTCACCCAGTGCTCTGAGTCTGACTTGCATATATTCTGGTGAGTGTCTGACAGAGTCTGACAGGCTTATAAGTTTGGATTCAAAATCCTTGGCAACCACATTCCTTGAGCACATCTGTCAGAGCGAGATGGCCAGTTTTGTCCAGGCAATCTAATGTGATGGCAAGGAAAACAAGAGGAAAAAACCATATATGCTATGGAAATGCTGCATCTTTCAGATGCAAAGAGAACAACCACAAAAAAATGTTTTGCCAATGTGCTACGCCAGAAAACTTACAATGATTATTGTGGAAACAACAATAAAATATGCAGCCTATGTAAGCTACACAGTGCAGTACAACAAATGTCAACCACCTAAAGATCTCTGACTGTGGAGAACATATCTGGTCCCAGGTTTATTACTTCTGAGCAATGGACTCTAGTAAGATCACAGCAATCAGCTTCTAGGAAAAGTCAGCTAACTACATGTGCTAGCTACATAAATATGTGCTGATGATTATACTATGAATATCTTGATCAGTAATCACTTGTCTGGCAGCCCCTGGTGGTCTAGTGGTAAAGGTGCCGCGCTATCACCGCGGAGACCCGGGTTCGATTCCCGGTCAGGGCCACTCCCGGGCAGGTGGGGCTCGTTAGCCCTTAAAGGCAACCCACCTACTTCCTAAGGACCTCGCTGCCACCGTCCAAGCTCGCTTGGCCCCGGCAGATGAACCTTAGGATTAAAGGGTGGGCTCAGTTCCGCGCACACTGTGTCTCACCTAAAAAATCCAATGCGCAGGCTGGAAGGTGGAAAGACCTTCCCCGGATCTTCGCTCGCGAAGACTGGCCATTATTATTTATTATTATTATAATCACTTGTGCTTCTTGTGCATGCCAGTTGTAAAATATAGTTATCAGAAGAGCAAGCACTATTCTCATAGAGTTATGTGATAAGTTACAGTAGGAAGAGGGTGGAAAGAAAGAAGAAGACAGGAGAAGAAATTTACCTGTGCTTCCATTCCTCGTATCCCTGCTTTGCGCTGCTGTGAAGCTCTAGGGAGTCAGAAGCAGTAGGTGCTTCTAAAAGCAACGTCCATAGGGGTGAAATCCTGTGCATCATCTGACCCTTTCCCAGTCGTGTGAACAAGGTAAAAGTAATTGTATATGCGTTCAGTAAAGATGAAAATACTCGCTCTGATTCTGTTTCTCTGCACAAATCCTCGACCGTGTACAATGGAGTTTAGGCAGTAGTTATGAGGATGTGGGCTTTTTACAGTTGTTACAGGAGAGCTGGTATGTGTATGTGCATGTTTTTGGACCCATAGAAAAGCATGTGAAGACTAGATGTTGACTCTAGCCTGAACTTAGATTTTCTGGTGCTGGAGTAATAAAGAATGACGAATTGATTTCAATTTGTTGAAAAATAAAATTTCCCCCAGAAAAAAACGAACATCTGGTAAAAAACTTCACTACAGTGTTTACATAGATTACATATTTTATTTTTATTACCTCTCTTTTCATCATCTCAGATTTTACAGGTAAAAGGCTTAAATCATCTTAAATGTCCAAGGATTTCTGTTTGAACTTAGATCCCCAGGCATTTTCCAGCTCAGATGTGGAATGGTAATTCACATTCTGCACAGCACAGTCACTCTTCCTCAATGTTCAAAAAGGGCCAGCAAGCTTATTTGTTAGATCAACCTTTTATATCAATTATGATCTGATTAAATTTTTCATCTAGGCTTTACCAAAATCAACCTCAGTTATGTGCTTCCGTGTGTGTACGTGCATGTGCACACAATCATAGAATAGTTTGGGTTGGAAAGGACCTTAAAGATCATCTAGTTCCAACTGCCCTGCTGTGGGCAGGGATACCTCCCACTAGATCAGGTTGCTCAAAGTCCCACCCCACCTGGCGTGGAACATTTTCAAGGATGGGCCACACAGCACTTCTCTGGGCAGCCTGTTCCTTTGCCACACCGCCACCACAGCAAAGAATTTCTTCCTTATATCTAGTCTAAACACACCCTTTTTAAATTTAAGGCCATTCACCCCTGTCCTGTCACTGCAGGTCATGGACAAGATCAGCCCGCGGCCAGGAGATGCTGCTGTAGACCATCCTTTCTACCTGGCAGGCTATGAAGATATTGGCAAAGCAGCCCAGCAGGTGCTGCACCACCCACCAGAAATGGTGCCTTGGCGTCCATGTGGACACAGTAGACGTTTTGGGGCATGTACAGGTCCCTGAAGAGCTGCTGGAAGGTCTTGAACTCTTTGTTCAGTGTCATGGTGTAGGCAACAAGGAACACAACCTCCTCAGCTGAGAGGGCACAGGTGATGTAGTTGTTCTGTGTTATGTACTCTGTGCAATTAGATTCTCTGAATGATGTTTTTAAACATCACCCTTTCCTTCAGAAAGGACACCTTGTCTTCATTAAGTGCTTTACAGGCTTCTACTAAAATTGAACTCACTGAGAAGTTCAGCCTCATAAGACATTTTTGTGCATGCACGCTAACAGAGTAGAAAACAAATGGAAGTGAAACACTGAGAATTGGAACAGCAAAGAAGCAGTATCTGAGTGTATTCACTATTGTCCAGAAAAAGAGTCTCTCTTGAAATATTGCAGAGAGGTCCAATCAGACACCACCACCATCTTGTTTTGATGTATGTACTTGCTTCCTGCTGGAGAATGTATGCATCCCTCTGATGCCCATTATGCAGCTGCTGCCCTTACTTTCAATATTAATAATTTCATGACCATCATTGACATGGAAGCAACTTAAGTATCAAACAACTTGCAGATGGAAGCTGCTCCACGGCACCCTGAAGATTTAACAGACATGTTGCATAATTACTGGCTTGGCAATGAACAGCTGGCACATATCTCACAGTGTCCCCAAATTCAATTTATGGGTATGTTCTTTACTGCTCCCTCCCTATTCTCCCTGCATGTATCATATAGCTCTTAAAACTTCTGTGCATGCACCCTGTGACAGGAAAACCTCATATTTACCTCTTGTATAATTTTATTTTTTTACTTATAGCACTTTTTTTTTAAACCATCCAAGTGTATCAGTTGTCACAGCTTCTGAATTGTGGAAGGCTTGTGATGCAAACTAAATACTGCTTCAATATGTCTCAGTGACAATTACATTACTTACTAGATCAAGTATATATTAGCTGTTGTGGCCTTTCTGCTGTTTTGTATCCTGGATGAATATAATTTCTAGAAGGTGATTGTCAGAAAAACAGTTCCATGCAAACCATTTTCCAGCCAAAGAATAAAAGATGGAGAGCAACCACTCATGTGTCTTCCACCTCTATGTTCCTGTCTTCGCTACTCTTCATTTCTAATGTAAGGCCACGAACCTTCATATATAAAAAGAGAATCCTTTTTGCCTCTGTGTAGAGTCATATCACAGTCATTACATTTTTTTTTCAGCAATGTTTTCTTAATTTGTAAATTTGAAATCTGACAAACAGATTCTGCTAAGAGTCATGGATGTGCTGTGATGAGCTCCAGACTTACATCCCTCACAAGGAACTGGGTTAGCAAAACATGCTATTTAAACTACTTAAGTTAACCGTAGGCTTTCTGATGAGACATTCTAATTTCTAAGAACTGTGCATGCATTCGATATAAGATGCTTATGTAATGAGAGCTTGTGGTGTGACTGACTAAAGTGAAATCCTTGGTCTCCTTCTTTCAGCTGTGAGTCTGTTCCTGTGAATCTCCTGCCATGAGACAGCATATTTGGGGCATGTAAACTTTTTGCAGCATCATGTCCTTTTGCTCCAATGTGAAGCAATTCTGAGGCAAAATCAGTTGATCTGAGATTATGCCAGTCAGTAAATGTCCTGTGGGCAGTTCATTGTGCTACGGAGGGAGAAATATCATCACCTAGCTTTCAACTCTTGCAGATAAATTACCTCAGGTGCTGGCAGGTCCCTCCCAGAAGCTGTACTTCCATCCTGGCCCCAAACAGTCTCCAGGATTCTCTGTTCAAACAGATTGAAGGCTGCTAGCAGTGCCTTCAGCCCATCAGACACAGTCACAAGCTGTAATGAAGAGAGGAGCTCTGTAGAAGCTTTGTAAGGATCTATGGTCTGAATAACCCCCAAGAGGGGCAGCAGTGCAAGACAGACCTGGCAGTCAAGCGTACTTAGAGACAGCAAGCAGCAGAGCCACTCCTCACCAGGCAGTCAGAAGAAACAGGTAGGGATAGCTGTGGTCCTGCTGGAGATCCAGTGCCCTCCTTCACAGACATCAGTGCCTTCAGAAGGAGAATGGCTCCGATGGAGCTGAGGAGCTGGAGCAGACCTGTGCAAAGTCCCAGGGAGTAACAGAGACTCACTTGATGCTGCTGAGAAGTCATCTGGAAAACACTGTTCCTGAGCTGAGACCACTATTCAAGTCTAGAACAGAAACGCACAAACACCATCTTCCTAATCTAATTGTTACAGTGAATTATACCCAGGTGTAAGCACCACTCCCCTACCTGACACCTCAGAAAAGCAAATTGTCATGACAGCTGATGACTATAAGACCAGCAGCCTCTTACTGTCCTCTGCGCACTCCATAGACCAGGGAATTCATCGTCTTCCCACCTTCCTACTCGGTCAGATGGCTGCAAGACCATTTCTGCTCCTCTACCATAGTCTTAACATGAGACCTCCATCCAGCTGGAGTTAGGAAAATGTAGAAAGAGAATAGCAGGGGGCAGATGCCAACATTCCTGCAGGAGTCAGGGGAAGTCTCAGCTGGGAGCAGAGAGCACAGGTTTCTTTTCCGAAATACCAATGGCTGAGATGTTTCAAGGCATTTAGATGCCTTTGAAACTGTATGCTCAGATGTTTTTAAAACTATTTTAGGCACTCTGTAGTCTGCTACACAGCTAGGAAAACCTTCAAGATCTTAAAATATATACATTATATATATGTGTATATATATATGTATAAGGAGACTGTTCTCTCTTAGATATTGAAGTCTGCATTACTAGCCTGGTCAAAACAAACAGGTAAAGCTACATGCAGAAAATGAGATGGGTCTGGTCTTCATAGGAGAGTAACGCAAGGTTTAACCTTTCCTTGGTCTGTTTTGTTCATGGAGTTTTTTTTTCCTTGCACAGACATTGCTGCAACACCTTTGCAGAAATCCAGACTAACCGTGATCCTTTGGTACTAACAGCCTTGGGGGAAAGAAGGCTGCATGCTTGGTGCTACTTCTTAATTCTGGTGCCTCGATTCTCTGGCCCAGTTAGTGTTTAGAAACCTCAAAACATACATGTAAATGATTGCTGTGGAAAATCAAGCTGCCAAAACCTTTGAGGTTTTGGGGTGTTTTTTTGGTTTTGTTATTTTAGCACTAGTTCTACTTCCTGCTGCTCTGTGTGAATAAGATGCATGCCTTGAATTATAGGCAAAAATCACCAAAAAACCCCAACCAAACAAAATAAACTTAAAAAACCCCACCCTTCCACCTAAAAAAGCCCCAAACAACCAAAAAACCCAACAAACAAACAAACCAAAACCAGTCAAACAAGGAGTATAAGTCACATGATTCACCTAACTGGAGTTTTTCTCAGGTATTAGTGAGTTATTGATTTTTCAGACTCATCCTAAGCTCAGATACAAAGAGCAGCCAAATCTAAATGTACATCTGAACTATATTGTGGCACCAGCAAGGTGTCAGGAGACCTCATGATGCCCCTGGATTCTCCTGTTGTAGATTGTATTGGACTTTTGCATATTCTGGGTGCAAAAACAGAGTTACTGGACAAAAAGATAAGATTGAATTTATCATGCAATTTAACAAATAGGCTGTGTAAAAGGGGTCTGTGCTGGCAGAGCTAAAACTGCTGCTGATTGAGATTTGCAGTGCTGCTCCTTTCTATTGTTCCCTGGACATGCATTGTAGCAATTCTCCTTTTATCATCAGAGGAGTTTTTGATCTGGCGCCTATAGTGAAAACACACTCCCCAGTAGGATTAGGGATTGAAATGTCTTCACTGTGGATGAATGAGAACAGACCTTTCCAGACAATAAGGATATTATCTTCAGAATAGAGTCAATGCTCAGTAAACTGCTCGTGGCCTTAATAAATATAGATAATTGGTTTCGGCTTATTTGTTAGCTAATTAAGAGGCAAGATGCACAGGTTTTGCACAGTGGTTTTGAGTTCCTCTTCAGCCTCAGTCAGCAGTGATGAGTGTTACGCATTTCAGGTCTGTTTGGAGTCACTTGGTATTTTCTATTCTATTGTTAGAACAAAACCATTTGTATCAAGACATTCTGTTTCATGACTCTCTCATGCAAAGCTCTGGATTTGAATTGGCACCGTTGTTAAAATCACAGTGAACCTGTTGTGATCAAACAATTTTGCTTCAGTGTGGTTTTTCTGGCTAGGAGGTGCAGATAGCCACTGTTTTGTGCCCAAGTAAAGGATCTCCTCTGCCCACACACCTTCTCGCACCAAGATGGAACTTCTTTGGTGTTGTGCTGGTTTGGGATGTTATACAATGTGCATGGTCTCCCTAAAGCTCTACCCTTGAAGCAGCCCTACCTGACAGCAATCTTCTCTAACACGTGCCTTACTTGCATGCCCCACCTGAGCTGGAAGGTATATTATATGCACTGTGTAACACAGCGAAAGTGAAACCAGACTCTGAGTGCAAAAGCAGTCAGAATTTATTCCTATCTCTCCTCTGCCCTCCCTTTTTCCCTGTTCAGAGAAGTCCCTGCCTTTCCTGCACTTCCCAGCCAGCCATAACCTGACTATTCAAAGAGAAGAAAATTCAAACCTACCTGAAACAGGAGTTCCCAGGCAGATGCACTGACACCGGACAGTCACAACGCAGCAGCACTGGCAGCAAATGGGAGGAGAGATGAAATGACACGTCAAGGCAAATGCTACCTCAGCTCACATGGTCCAGTAAAACCATCGACTAATCTAATTGTACACAGTCAGTGAGCACATCTGTCTGCACAAACAGCAGGGGCCAGACAATGCACCATCTCATCCACCTTTGTCTTGCTGTGCTCTCAAGCTCCAGACACAGAGCCTCTTCTGCTGCAGCAACTTCACTGCTTGTCTGCATTTGCAGCAGACTTTTAGACTCAAAGGTTTTGGGAATAGGCAAGCTGCCTAGTCTCTTAGCAGAGAGCAGTTTGCAAGTCAGACTTGCTACTGGTCCAAAGCAGAGCACTCTACGGCTCCCTTCTCCAATTAATTACCAACAGGGACACGTACTCACCTCTGTGCAAACTATTCCTCATCAGCTGCTCAGGAGCAACAGCACGGCATTCTCTTCCCTGCTCATTTATCCTCCTGCGCAGAGAAAGCAAGACATAATTAAACACGTCCTAATAGAGGACAGGCAGGCTGTGGTGGTGAAGCTGGCTTTCTTCTGTTAAATATGACTAGATTTTAGAGCTGACACTGGTGTAGTTGGCGCATGGAGAGAGATCTGTTTTCTTATTGCAGATTAGTGTACAGTAAAGTACAAATTTACATGTGCCACTACTATTTGCCCTGGAGAAGTGTCCAAAGGTAGCCTACACTGGATTTTGCAAACATTTGGGCTCTTGCTGACTTTATGAACGTGAACCCAAGGTGTTCCCTTCAGTGGGTAGAGTGGAGCAGCTGGTGTCAGATACCCAGGGTGGTGCCAGGTCAGGGCATTGTCCCTGCAACCTGGTCTCTGCATGGCCAAGGACCTGCCCCCAGCTGCAGGTGTGTTAGCAGCTAGAGGAGTAAAGCAACTGGATTTTCAGGTTGGGAGTGACCTACTCTGCCAAGCAAGTCTGACCACAGCCCTGCCAGCTGGTATAGGTGACTGGCTATGCCAGAGAGTGCAGGTGTATGGATCACTGTTGTTATTTCTAATGCCTATGCTAAACTTGTAACATTATTGTGTTCTTTATTCTGACAATATAACTTGTTTCCAGCTATAAAATGAGCAGAGAACCCATAAGGATCTAGGAAATATCTACTGTCAGGAATGACTGAAATATATATATGTTTATTATAGTATTTAAAAAAAAGGCAGGAAGCCTTCAAATATGTAAAAAAGGTAAACCAGAAGCAAATTCTGGTGCAAATAGGAAGGGAGTAGTTGATTCTCCCTGCTCTCTGTGCATAAGACAAGAACTAATCATCTTAGATAGCATCAGGAGAGGTGAAGATCAGACACTAGGGAAGCTTTGTAGTGATAAACAGTTAAATGTGGATTAGATTGTCTGGAGAGGCTGAAATTTTCCTGCTGATGGTTTTTCAGGAGCAGGTTAGGCATAGCTTTTTCAGCAGTTTTGCAAGTCATACTGGTTCAGACCTGCTAATTTTCTACGTCTTTTCCAGCTCCCTTTCCTGTGATGGTCTGTGTTACCGTACCATAACTTGGCTGTAGCTGGGCTGAGGATCATATTATACTCAGCAACTGTAACAAGAGGACTTTGTCAACATTTAGAAATATGCTCATAATTTCTGATAATTACCACTAACATTGCAGTTTAGTTAACCTTGGGATAGTCCTGGACCACTCAAGAAGGAAAAGCATTTGTATGATACTTTTGTGATTCATCCTAAGCATAATGAAAAATCATTTAATAAATGATAACTCTGTGATGGTTTACTTCTTGACAAAGCCTCAGACTGAGGATTTCCAAATTGCATTTGAGCATTTCAAATTGCCAAGCACCTTCTTATTTGCTTTTGCTTTGGGTGGAGGCTCATGCTTATGTTTTGGTCCCTTGTTCTGCTGCTTACACAAAAACTTTTTATGGCTCTCTAACGGGAAGGGGAGTGGCTGCAATCACCAGTCCCCAAGGGGTAGAAGACAGACCCTGATGGCATTACTGAAGCTGGGACAATCTAGTCTCTCCATACTGGGTCACTAGGAAGTCGTAAAGAGGCTAGAAAACTACTGGAAATCTCCTGCCTTGCACAACATTGCATTCCTCAGCTCCTGCAGACAGCCTTGTCTTGTCTGGTCCCTACCTGCTAAACAGCTTCTTCCAGGCCAAGGTTTTATTACTGAATTCCCCAGTTATCATACATACCTGGCAGCTGGTGCCCTGGCATCTGTTTTCTGCCCTGTGATGGGTTATTCACTGTGCTTTCTGGAACCTTCCTTTTGCAGCATTCCTGGATCCTGATTTGAACTGCAATCCTACTTTGCAGTCTCAAAATTCCACAAGTGTGTGTCTCTTTTCTTCCAGTTAATTCAGTCTCTCCATTTGAGAAATACTTACAGCTTCTTACGTGTTGCTCACACTGATGATGCTCTTTGGCCTAAACCCCAAACCTATATTTAGGTTAGTTTTTGTTAGTACTTTTAATTTGCAAAGAATGTACACAAGGGCTTCTTTTTCCCTATACCTACAGAAATTAGAAGAAAAATGGTACCTTTATCCCTAAGCCCCTGCTTACTGAATCTCTGTGTGAGATCTGTTCAAGTAACTGGGCAAGTTCATGACAGAGGACTGTTCTGGGATACACAGCAATTATGTCATTCTCACAAGATCCTGATCTGCAAATGGTTGGAGGCTGGAAGGGTGTCAAGAAAAGCACCACATTTTCTTGCCCATCTCACTTTCTCTTCCAAAGGCCTCAGCACCTGCTGAGGGATACAATACTGGTCTGGGATGTTATGACCCTCCTGAGTCCCTGCTCCCTCTCAGGAGTGCACAGACAATTGCTTTTCTCACTCTCAGATCCTTTTTGTACACACACGCATAATTCAGGACAGCTGCAAACACTGCCTTGCTCCAGGCTGTTGGTTATCAGTAGATCCAAAGTTTCTCCAAGTCAGGTCTTGTTCAGGACATTACATGAAGTCAGGTGTCTTGGACAGTGGTTTCTGTTGCTTCAGTGGTAATTCAACACAATGGGAATCTGAGTTGCTCCTGGTGGTTATCTGGAACAGACCACAGAGAGGTACATTGCATCCCTCAGCAGGCTCTGAGGTTTCTTACATACCCAGCTTGCCATGTCCAGCATGAGGCCACCATGTCTTCTAATCAGTGCAGCAGTTCTTGAGTAACTTGGCTTTTCTGTCATAAAATAATGGTGAATTTATGTGCTTGTATTCATATAGTACCAATCTCAAAATTTCAGCAGGGCCATCTCATAGTGGAAGTAAGACTTTTTCCAGGGGCATTAGCTGTGGGATCTCCAGAGTTATAGCCACATTAATCATTAATTCCCCAAGAAACTGCCCTACCCCATTAAATACACTGGCATATTTTTTAATAAGGTCACCTGCCTTGTGTCAGTTGAGATGGAACAATTCCCACTTTCATTACCAGTTTGATCAATTTAATATCCAGCCTGCTCAGGGACTAAGCTCTAGTGATGCTGCTGTGTGTACAGCATGAAATTTGTGGTGTTTTAGATCCTATTTCATTGGGTCTAAAAGCACACCATGTCTGTCAACGCCCTCCTGCCTTACCTTTCTCTTGAAAGGTGGGTTCTTACTCTCTTTTCCTTCAGCCAGTCCTGCTGTTGCTGTTTCCACACCAATGTGGAAAACTATATAGCCAGATGGGGAGCTAGCTGAAGCTTCTGCATGTTTTCAATTTCTTCTGGGACCTGACTGCTTCCGTGGGACTATTAAAACACTGAGAAATTACAGCGTGGGGGACGAGGGGAATAAACAGAAAAAACCCAAACAAAACCAACCAACCAACCAACAAACACAATACAAAACTTCAAATATAAGCAGGATCCTCTGGCAGGCATTCTCTGAAATGGGATCGGAACTTTTCAGTTAGTGACACCGTTCTCTGCTTATGTTAAATGTTCACTGCCTTTTCTGCAACATCCCGGTTAGCGGCAAGCTGGTACTAAGCCGTCAACCAGTGATGTACTACATCCAACCATCAGGTTGCTGCCCAAGTTTTGGCCAACCCGTCAAGCCGCATCACAGCCGGGTAGAGCGGTTAAACTAAAGAAGGTAACCCCTCCTATCCGCAAGCCTCCGCTGTCATTTGTCCCCTGTGCCACTGGATGGCAATGCTGGCTAAAGTATCGCGGCCGGTAGCGGAGAGTGGGGAGAGGAGGAGGAAGAGGACGGCGGGCAGCGCCGGCAGACGGGCAGGGTACGGACAAGGCAAGGCAGGACTGCCGCGGAGAGCCCGTGGGAAACGCGTCCCACTGAGACATCGCACCCTTTGCTGTAATTTTCAATCTGAAAGGGGACGTCCGACTCAGGGGGCGCGATTTACCAGGACCCCCGCATTTGGAGGACTCGAATCATGGGAAACTAATATGTGGTGTCGAGGTTTTAAGCGTCGGAAGGAGTTGTCGGCAGGAATGGCTGGGAGTCACGCACATTGGCGCGGCTTGCTAGAAATTGCCCAATTTTTATACTTAAAAACTGTACTTACACTTTGTAAAAAATGACTTTGTAAGCACGGCACGGCTGGGCTCAATGACTATTCAGTGAACTCATTTGAATGTGCATAGACAGGGCTTGCTTGAACTGCTGCATCAAAGAGAAATGCTGAAATGAGTCATTTGTGAATCACGGCTTATTTTCTGTTGTTAGCTCATCTGGAATCCCATGGTGATCAAACAGCCTTTTACAATGTGTTAATACATCGCTACTCCATGTGTTTAGCAACAGCTCTGTTCCAATAAATTGTAGGTAGTCACCCATTATAAAGAGGTAGTGTTTTCTGCCGCGTGTAAAGCGGCTGGGATGAACTTGGAGGTGAAAACATAAGCAAAATTTCATGCCGTTCCAAACACTCTTTTCCATGCTGCTTCCACTCCAATATCATACATGCTTTCTGTCTCCTTGCTTGCAGGGCACAGTCCAGTCAGAAGAGATTGCCTGCAGTGGCAAGTCTTCCCGTCGTCCAAGAGGCTGCAAGCAGGCTGAAGCAGCCGACAAGCCACTTTACAGGCAGAGGAATGAAAGGGAGGCAGGAAAAAAACAGCCTCGGCAGCAGTTTAAGGTAAGGCCCTGTTTTTCAAATTAGTGGCTGTTCCTATCCTATGCCTTCAGCTGGCTGGAGAGCTTGGGCCAGGCTATAAGCAGTTTCAGGCATTGATTTGCTCAAATTTGTAGGGGATGGTAATCCTCCTCCTCCTCTCTCTTTTTTTTTCCTTTTTTTTTTTTTTCTTTTAACTGTAACAAACTGAATCAGTCCAGCAGGTCTGCAAAAAGTTGACAGGAGGCTGAGGAAGAGGGTGTGAATCCCTTAAGGCTGCTGTTGTCATTGAACTCTCTGTGGTGTGAAACCACAGCCTGAGGTGCTGAGCTTCTATCCAGAGCGACTGAGGCTCAGGAACCAATTCCCTATTGCCAGCTCTTTTATTGGAGTGAGTGGCTGGAGATGGAAACATCTTCAACCAGTACAACAAGCTTCACCATAACCTGTCTGTCAGAGCCCTAAGCCCTATCTGCTTGTATGTGAGTTACACGGCCATAAAGGCCAAATACTCTCTTGCCATCAGCTACTTAGGTTTCTTCTGTCACACATAATTGTAGCTCAAAGGTCCTGAATAATTGCATTCCTATTGGGACTGATCCAGCCCCCAATAATAATCTTAATAAAGTTGCTCTTAACCAGCCACATGAATCCCTTTCAATCCCCAACGCAGGCTCAGTCATGCTGTAATTCAGTAGAGGAGGCCATTCACTGTGGGGCTAATTTAGTTTAAAATGCAGACAGTCTATTTATGGGACAATTTTTTGTTCATGCTCTAAATTCTTATGCGCAATCAACAGCCTGTAAACCCAGTCAAGCCAGCACATGACCCATTAGCATAGGCACTTGGGGCTTATAGCCCTTAGGAGCAGTATTTGTGCTGTGCTCCCTCTCAAGTGGGATATATCCCTATTTAGTTAATGGGCCCTGTTGTAGGAGAAAAACACAGAAATCCTTTTCCTGTACTGGAAATCAATTTCATACAATCCCAGGGTTGAGTTCAACCCCACCCTCACCCATCAGCTTTTGCAAACAATGCTGATCTTCCAAAATGTAGCAGTATCACTTTTCTTCTGTGAGAGAAGAACAGAAAATTGAGATAAGGAAAGGAGCATCAACCCATTGAGATAAAGACCATCATCCCACTGGTTGTGCTTCCAAGAGCAGGATTACCAGAAATGTGGAGAAAGGTTTTTCCCTTGTGAAGATTCCACATAAGCATTAGACTATTAACAAAGGTTAGATTCCTCAATAGGTCTAAAAGAAGATTCAGTAACAAGCAGCATGTTCTCAAGTTTTGAAATGCAACCCACAGGGGTTTAAGTGCAAGACCAGACAGGGTTTAACACATGCCAATATCCAGCAGGGAAGCAGGTAGCAAGATAGAGGTCCTGGGTCCTTTCACAGGACAAGTCTCCTGATTTAGGCAACTCCTTAATTATTTCTTCAGGGTTATTTTTAAGCTGGCTACTTGAGTTCAGCAGTAT